TATTATATAACATTTGAACCAGACCATACTGATAATCCTAAACTTCTATCCTAAATAGCCATTTAGAGCACCAATTAGAGTTGCCCCTTTGTACTCCGACAACACCGGCTAGTGCTTTCCTCGACATAGAGAGGTTGGAAAAAGAGTATGGCGTCTATGGTATAATATCCTCTAATTCTGGTAAAAAAAAAAAAAAAAATTGCCTCGCAATTATTTTTTTATAATTTATTTTGAATAGTTCCCAATATTTACATACTGTATATCTCAATATAAAGTTTTCTTTCAATTGTTTTCCTAATAATAGTATCCAAATATTTTTGTGTTTACATACACTTTAGCACATGTTGCTAGACTTTGATTCTTAATACCAACATTTACCGATTTTTGTACCCCCAAAAAAAAATAAATAACCGACTTCTTACCAAAATTAGAGGATATTATACCATAAATGCCAAATCTCTTTTTCCACACTTTCTGTATTAAGCTAAACTTTGACTCTTAATAGGCAAAACCCTATATTAAGCCCCCAAATTTATCTTTAAAATTTTTTTATTAAAACCCTGAACTTTTAGTGAAGCAAATAAGCCTCTAAATTTGATAATTTGAGCAATTTAACCATCTTTTTTTTACAATAGACTTAATACATGTTTGTGTCTCACTTGTATGAATAAAGTATTTAGTGTCTCGCTTGTATGGATAAGGTATTTACATTTTTTTTTTAACAGAAAAAAAATTCCATTACTAACCTGAGTATAAGGGGAACTCAAACCCGTTTACATGAACAACAAACAATCCCATCAGTGTACAAAAATAATCACGTCAGTGTTACTATCTTCTTTCAAACCCCTCCTACTTCACTCTAGTAAGACATGAAGCAGGGTTAATTAACTAATCTGATAGATTGAAAAAACACTTGTCTTTCCTAGCTTTAATCCATGTAAAAGATCTTAATCGAATAAGTTCAAAAAGTTTGATCAAGTTTACCTTTGAATTGTCAAAAATCTTTTTGTTGCGTGCCATCCACACAAACCATATTACTGCATTCCAAATGCAGTCCCACCCTTTTCTTTTCTGTGAATTTTTGGTCCAAGCCCCAAAGTGCTGAAACGTTTTCCAACATTCTTTTTGTAGTTCTACTGTGATGCCCCACCAGTTTGCACAAGCCTTCCATAGCCATTTAACTATTTTGCAATTCAATAATAAATGATTGGAGTCTTCCTCCTCCTCTTCACACAAAACACATTTCCTTTCCTCCTCGTCTTTGATGACTCCACATTTAAACAAATTTAGCTTGGTTGGAATTCTATCAAGTAGTACCTTCCAATTGAATGCCGCAACTTTAGTTGGGAGACTAGGATTCCATACTCTCTTGTACATTTTTGCTTCCTCCGCTTCCCTCCTTTGTTTTGCTACTATTGCATAAGCTGTTGCCGTTGAGTATTCTCCATCAGTGCTCTGTATCCACTCCCATCTGTCTGCACTCCCTAGGGAGATTATCACTTTCTCCATCGTTTTTTGAAGTTCTTTTGCAGCCTTATCTTCCCACTGGTATAGAGGTCTTCTCCATGTCAAGTTCCATTTCCATGTGCCATTGTGTGCCCTTCCCATTTGATGGCATTCTTTGTCCTTACCTGTAGACAAAATGTACAATCTAGGGAATTTATTACCCAAGCAATTCTCCCCGCACCACTTATCCCACCAGAAGCTCACTCCATTCCCCTCACCAACCTTAATCCTAAAACCCTCCGTCAACCATCCAACATTCCCCCCATCACCAGCATTGAGATTTTGGATGTCTCTCCACCATATTGATCCTCCACCGCTATTATCTCTCACCCAATCTAACCAATGCCCTCCTCTCTCCCCATATTTACCTATTATCACTTTCCTCCATAACCCCTCTTCCCTTTTTGCTAACCGCCCCCACCATTTACCCAAGAACGCCAGATTGAATTTTCTCAAGTCCTTCACTCCTAGACCTCCACACTCCTTATTCATGCATACCCTCTCCCAACTAACCCAACTGATTTTTTTCTCCTCCCCTGTCTCACCCCATAAAAAATTCCTACGTATTTTATCTAAAGGGTAGAGAATACCTTTGGGGATTTTGTAAGCTGACATTAGGTACACGGGTAGGCTAGACAGCACAGAGTTTAAGAGCATGATCCGACCTCCCAGAGATAAGTTTTAACCTTTCTAGCTAGCTAGTTTCCTTTTAAAAGAGTCCACCAGTGGTTGCCACATTGCTATCTTTTTGTGATTCCCTTCAAATGGAGTTCCCAAATACTTAAAAGGAAATTCTCCCACCTTGCAACACAGTCTGTATGCCATCCTCTCTTTCCAACCGTCTTCAGTCCCAACCCCCATTATTTGACTCTTGCCAAAGTTGATTTTCAGTCTCGACACCAATTCAAAAGTCCTCATGATGCATTTGATTGCTTGAATGTTTTCTTCTAAAGCCTCCCCAAAAAACAATGTGTCATCGGCAAATTGGAGATATGAGATTGACAAATTTTCGTTTCCAATCCTTACTCCTTTAAACAGGTTTTTCTCAATGGCAGACTACATTAACCCATTTAGCCCTTCTGCTACTAATAGGATAAGGTATTTACATATCATTACTTATGTAGCAGATATTGACCTTACCCATGCAACCCATGTAAGTAAGACACAAATATGCATTAAGTTTGCTGTAAGAAAAATAGTGAAATTGCTTATATCACTAAGTTAAGAGATTTATTTGTTTTAATAAAAGTTAAGAGATTTAATTGAGAATTTGAGATAAGTTTGAGGGCTTAATATAGGGTTTTGCCTTCTTAATACCACCATTTACTGATTTCTTACCAAAATTAGAGGATATTGTACCATAAATGCCAAATCTCTTTTTCCAACCTTCCTATATTGAGGAAAGCACTAGGGTGTAGTTGAAGTAAAAACAAAACCTTAGAAAATGATTGAGGGATAATTTTTTAATAAAATTTATATATTATTTAATGATTGATTCCTTTTACTAAATTAGGACCTATTATACTATGTATATTTACTTATTTCATGATATGTGATAATTGTAAATAAAAGTTGTATAAAATATTATACACATATTTACTCTAAGAGTCCATTATTTTATAGTTCGAACTGTACTAAATTGCAAAACAAGGACTCTTGAATGGGGAAGGATTCTAATATTAAGGGCATACCTTTCATTCAATAGTGTATGTTTTACTATCCGATATAATTCAAATAGTAAAAAAACTTTTTCATTACCCCAATTCCTTTTAATCCTTAAATTGTGGTTGGCAAAAGGTGCAAATCAGCCCTTCTACTTATAATATTGTGACATGTCAGCCCCATACTTTAAATCAGTGCAAATCAGCCCCTTAACTACACAAAATCTGTAAATCAGCCCTTTTAGTTAGGTTAAACCCCCAATTTGGTCTTTAAACTATTATACGGACCCTTGATTTGATCCTTAAACTAAAAAAATCCCTGATTTAGTCCCTGAACTATTGTATAAACCCCTGATTTGGTCTCTACTGTTTACTGATTTAACCCCAAGTTGGTCTTTCTATACAAAAAATAACTAATGTATTTGTTACTTAACAGTGAAAAACAATCCATTACTTAATAGTGAAAAACAGTAACTTAACAGCCACATATTCTTTGTTATTCCTATAAAAAAACATTATGATTGACTCATTTTACTCTATTGCTCGGTCTATGGTTACATGCTTGACTTATTTATCCGTAGAGCAGCAACTGATGTTTATCTCGCAAAAGGCACTCGTAATTTACACTGTGGGATGAACCAATTAAATGAAAATCTAGGCCTAACTTAGTTGGAACATGAAGTGACATTGCCTAGAGATATTAGAGGTACGTGTTTAGGATCCTCGAGGCTCCAACAATAGTCAGAAAGAGATTAATTTAGAGTCATATAATTTTGCTTGAAGACACTTTAGCCATTTAAAAAATTAAATTAAATTAAAAAACAAATCATCAACACTCTCTCAGTCCCCAACTGCTCTAACTTTTGCATGTATTAACATTTTTCATTGGGTTTTTAGCTAATTTCAAGAAGTTCGGAAATCAGGGCTTTGTTCGTAATTGTCTACTGGTTAGCCCACTCTCTTCTTCTCTTCTTTTTCTTAATGCCTATTTTAAAAATAAAAACAGAAAATTGTTTTTCAAATCAACCTGTATAAAAAAAATTGACTAAATATTCATGAAATCATTAAATATTATAATAAATTATATAAGATGAAATAGCTCTCTCTCTTTTTCAAATTCATTTTTATCCAACTCAAAATTTGAACTTGAAATCTCTAATTAAAAATTTTAAATTAATTTTAAATTTTTAATTAGTTGAACCACCCTTAAGACATTTTAATGTTAAAGGCATTTAATTAATTTCATAAGCATTTTTATATTTTTTTTTACAAGTCGATTTGAAGATCCGAACCTCATAAAAAAATAAATGAAAATTAAATAACAGCTCTGATTTTTTCTTTTTCTTAATATGGGCAAGTGGTACACAGAATAAAAAGAGGCAAGCAAGCGCCATTTTCCTGTATATATATCCACCTATAACTTCCATATTTATTGTATTTTCCACTACAAATTTTGGAACACTCTTCACCAAAATCAATTTTATCCTCATTCTAGATATGGTAAGTTCAAGAGAGCTCACATACTTTTCATTTTTTTCCTTTTACCAAAAAAAAAAAAGACGTGGTAACCCATTAAGAACTTGTTTGGCTGCCAGCTAAATAGGGCTTTTTTTAGAGAAACTGTTTGAGTTGAGCTTTTTAAGCAATAAAAATTATTTAATTCATAAATTGTATTGTAAAATCTTTACTTCAGAAGCTTTAAAAAAGGCAGTTTCAACTTTTAACTATTTAAAAAGCATTTTTGTTTGCACTAAACCCTCAGTATTTAAAAATTACATTGGACCTAATTAATTCGAAAATGAATCATATCAAACCCTATAAAGAGAAAAAAATTTTAATATCTGTCTCTTCATTCACAATGTTCAAATTCAAAATCTTATTTAAAAAAATTTAACTTTTTTTTTACTCAAATTAATGTAGCTACTATTTAAAATGCATTTTGTTTGATCTTACTTTTGCTTGAATTTGGAGCGGCGAATCTTTTCTAGAGTAGACAAACAGAGACTAACTTTGCATTGGTGGATCCAAAGGTCTTAAATTTTGGATCTGGTTATAAACTCAACTGCGTTGGGTTTAGTCTAGTGAGCCCATAGTAAATTAGGTTCCTCTAATATTGACGTAGTGGGCTTGAGTTCCAAGTCAATTTGCGCTTAAGGTTTAGGTTTATCTCAGGGTCTGTAGTTTAAGGCCCAAACCCCATAGAACCCTACATACCACCCACTAAACTTAAAAATTTACAGTAGAAAGTAGTGTTAAAAACTACCACTACTAAATTTAATTTTTGATTTCAAGAAAGCTTTGCAAACCTGGAGCAGAAATGTCCCAAAAAGGCCATAGGAGGAAATTGCTAAATTGCAGAGGCAACTTGACGATCTGCAACAGAATCAGACATCTATCAACACCATAGAACAGGAGGAAAATTTAATCAAGCAAATCAATACCTTATGGACTCAAGACGAAGCTCACTGGTTTCAAAGAGCTCGGATTAACGCGATCAACTTCGGAGACAAAAACACCAAATACTTCCATGCTGTTGCTACTAGAAGGAGGCAAAATAGCCATATTTTTCAACTTAAAGATGACATAGGTAGAATATTAGACAAGGAGGATACACTTCTGGACTACGTATATTCTCATTATCAACAAGCATACTCCTCCCAAAATATTTCTAATTATAATTTGCTTGCGGAACTAATTTAGCCTTCTGTTACAACTAAAATGAATGAAGACTTATGCAAGGAAGTTTCATATGATGAAATCAAAGTAGTTGTCTTCCAACTTGGTTCTTACAAAGCTCCTGGTATCGATGGATTTCCAAGTTGCTTTTACCAACAGCACTGGGACTTGGTTGCAAATGATGTTTGCAAAGTTGTAAAACATTTCTTCGACAATGGCCATATGTTAAGGGAAATGAATAGAACTCAAATAGTGCTGGTTCCCAAAATCAGAAATCCGGAGGTGATTACTCATTTTCGTCCTATCTCTTTATATAACTTCTCCTATAAAATCATCTCTAAACTATTAGCCAACAGGTTGAAGAGATTTCTTGATCATCTTATTTCTCCATTTCAGTCTGCTTTCATCCCTGGAAGATGCATACAAGATAACATTATGATTGCACATGAAGCCTTTCATGGCTTGAAGTTGAAGAAAACAGGGGTGAATGGCTTTCTAGCTCTTAAGCTTGATATAAGGAAAGCATATGATTCTGTAGATTAGGGTTGCCTAGAACATGTGTTACGTGCACATGGTTTTTGTGAAAAATGGATCCACTGGATAATGCAATGTGTAACTACCGTTTTGTATACAGTTCTGGTAAATGGTAGATCAACACCTCCTTTCTTCCCTCAACAAGGTCTCTGACAGGGAGATCCTCTTTCTTCATATCTATACATATTTATTGCTAACATCTTGTTTCAGTTATTAATGACAACAGTTGCTTAAAAGCAATTATCTAGATATCGCATACGCAATCGAAGCCCGATTATTAGTCAACTCTTGTTTGCTGATGATTCACTTGTCTTTTGCAAAGCTAACCTAGAAGAGGTGAGTCATTTACAGTACATTTTGCAACTTTACAGTAATACTACCAGGCAAAATGTTAATTATGCTAAATTAGCTACCATTTTTAGTACCAATACCACTAGTGATCTACGAGCTTCAATCTGTAATCAGTTGGGCATTAATCATGATTTTGAGGCATCTAAATACCTTGGATTACCAACCTCATGGGGGAAATCAAAAAAATCCAGTTTGAAAAATGTTGTTGAAAAAATTCATAGAAAGTTGAAACCGTGGAAAGTGGCCTTGTTATCCCAAGCTGGTCGGGAAATCTTAATTAAGGCTATAGCTATGTCTATTCCAACCTACACAATGTCATGCTTCTTATTTCCAATATGCATTTGTAAGGAGATTAATAAACTAATTAGGGATTTTTGGTGGGGACAACAGCAAGAAGAAAGGAAGATATATTGGGTCAGTTGGAAAATGATGACTAAAAGTAAGCTTTCTAGGGGAATGGGTTTTAAGGATTTACACTGTTTTAACTTAGCTATGTTGGCTAAGCAGGTTTGGAGGCTGTTGCAAAATCCTCAATCACTTTGGAGCGAGTTCTCAAAAGCTTATATTTCAAAGAAACTTCTTTCTTCTCTACTCGAAAAGGAAGTCATCCATCCTGGGCATGGACAAGCATTCTAATGGGCAAAGAAATTCTTCAACTGGGGACTCGATGGAATGTGGGTGGTGGGAAAGATATGTTGATCTATGAAGATGCATGGATTCCAACTCTACCACAATTCAAGGTACTTTCTGCTCCCCAAGCTGATTCCATTTACTCCCATGTTTGTGATTTACTTGATGAAAGGGGAAATTGGGATGATCACAAGTTGAGTAATTGCTTCACAAATGAGGAAGGTCGAGAAATTTTGAAAATACCTACAACACCCTGTCATGACTCTTTTATTTGGCAATATGATAAATATGGACAATTCACTGTTAAAAGTGCCTACTTCCTTGCAGTTAAACATATTTACACATCAGATTTCTCAGAAACTCATTCTTCCATCTCCTCTGCAAAATGGAAGTACCTTTGGAAACTTAAAATACCCCCCAAAATTAAGGTTTTCCTATGGAGAGCTATCCTCAACAGACTGCCCACATTAGACAATTTAGTTGTTAAAGGAGTTGTGAATAATGCTCTCTGTCAAAACTGTCAGCATCATGAGGAATCCTTAATACACACTCTTTTTACTGCCCTCAAGTCGAACCAATTTGGTTTGGTTCAGCCTTAGGTATTTTCCCTGGGCCGCTGAGGTTGCAAAACTTTGTAGAGTGGTGGAGATTTATAACTGACATTGGAAAACGAATGGGAATTCCTTATCTGATTAAACAGTGGGCAATAATTTGTTGGAACGTGTGGAAGGCAAGGAACAATAAGTACTTTGAGAATAGTGACTTTAATCCTCAACAAGTTATTCACCAAGCTCAAGGAATGTTTCAAGAATATTGCTCAAGGCTAGGAAGAGACTTGCTTCTTCCCCCAGCATGCACGATGAAAAGAAAACAGGTCAATTCTTGTTGGACCCGTCCTCCACCAGGATACCTAAAAATCAATGTTGATGCCTCCTTTCTGTATAACTCTGGTCAGCAGCATTAGCCATGGTTGGAAGAGATTCTAACGGAGAGATTATTGTAGGAAGAACGTGGTTATGCCCGGCCCTTTCTCCTCTAATGGCTGAAGCTACTGCATTACTTAATGCCATGCAATCTGCAGTTGATATGGAGCTGGAGCATGTAATTTTCAAATCTGACAATGAAGCCTTGACAACGCTCACACAACAAGCAAGCAAGCCCTCACCTTGGGAAATCACATCAGTCATGCATAAAATCATAAGCACTAGCAGTTTAAAGCCAAATTTCCACTTTTCTTTTGTCCCTCGTGAAGGTAATAGAGTAGCAGACTGGGTTGCACGATCAACTTTCAAAGGACAGTGTCCTTACTACTGGGCTCACTATCCACCTGATATTTTATTACAGTTAGGTTTAATACCCAATTTGGTCCCTAAACTTTCATTTCGAAACTTAGTTCATCCTTTAACTTCAGAAGGGACCCAAACCATCCTTAAACTTTATTTTTTTAGAACCCAAATGGTCCTTCCATCACAGAAGTGCCCAGTTGGCCCGTTAACTTGCCACGAATTAATACTTTTATTTTAGAAAAATTACGTGGAAAAAAAATGATGATTTTGTAATTTCAATTTCTCAAAATACAGCATCAATGCCGGCGGCCAAAATCCCCTTAGCCATCTCCGTCAATTGAGAGAAAAACCACGGCGGTAGAGATCGGCAAGCTGAGTGCAATCAGGACCATCATTCCCAACGTGACACTGGGGCGAGTGTTCATCAACTGCGACTACAACACTTCCATGATCTCGCAAATCATCGAATCGTAGCTCGTATAGACACGTTTCTCCCAATCCATCCAGTCCGTAGGCAGCTCGTAGTTCCTCTCGATCATCTTCATCTCATGAATCCTCTTCCGAAGAACGATCATGCTTTCATCAACGATCCGTCTGCTCGAGTCTCAGCCGCACGCCTCTTTCTTCACCGCGAATATCTTCGTTAAGATCGTTTAAAGCCGAATCTGGCATCCGCATAAAATAATTACATAAATGAATACTAGAATCGTTTGGTTTTATAAGTTTGGGATTCAACCAAATCAGGAGAATAACTCCTTTGCAAGCTGCTATACTCATTGCAAAGGGACAAAAAAAGCTAAAATCGGCTAAGATCTCAGTTGATAGAAGTGCCGATTCAACTCCATTTTCGCGGCATCATCTCCACACAACTTCAAACAAAAATGCAGCAAAAATATTGAGGAATTAAGCCAACTTAGGGCATACTACTAATAAGTTCATTTTCCTTTCTAGTTTCCATAGTTTCTTAGCAACCAAACACAAATTTCCATCGCAATCCTCAAGTAAAAAACAAAATCTACTTTTCTATCAAAGGATTTAAGTATATAAAGCCACAAAAAAATCGCTCACCGGTGCCAAGTCTTCGAGAAGGATTGTTACTGTTGGAGGCACTGGTATCGTCGCCATTGATGAGAACAGAAGAGAAGTTCGGAGATGGTGACCGCATTGAAGGTTTGCAAACTGAAAGACAACGCATCGAAGAAGAAGACGGTGCAACTGGGAGTGTTGTTCTCAGCATTTTCTCTTATCTTCTTCACCCCAATCCCAATATGGGTTCTAAACCC